TTTATCTGCTTTTTTTTTTTTGTAATACAAATTTATGTGTTTGTATTATAAACACATTTTTATCTTTTATATATTATATTAAAAAAGTGTTATAATTTTTTTAAAAAAATTATCCCCAATAATCTTCTATCCAAATACCTAGTTTACATATTTTTTGGGTAAAGAACCATTACGTAGTTTACATAAATTATTTTAATGGCGAAACAACAAGTACCGAAATGTTTGGTAAATGGGTATAAGGATCAGGAATGGAAATCAAAGTTAACGATACCCGTATCTGTTTTGTAGTAAATCACAATCAGAATCAGTCAATCAAAATGGAAGTATTGGTTGTGTTTGGATTGCATTTTCCGTGATTTTTCATGGAAAAATTACTGTAGCGATTTGATGTATGTAAGGAAAAAAAGTAATAGGGAAATGTGATCACGGAAAACGATGTAATTTTTTGACGGAAACCGGCAATCCAAACAAGGCCAGGTTATGTTTGGATTGCATTTTTCTGGATTTTTTGTAGAAAAATTATTGTAACAATTTGATATATATGAGGTAAGAAAGTGATTGAAAAATATATTCACTCCAAACAAGGCCTAATAGATCGTGCCCCTATCATTCTTTACTTCTAATTTGAGTTTCAAATTAATTAGCTCTTCCCTTGAATAAAAATGAAATCCATTCCACTTCCGCGGACCAAACAAAGAAAGGGAAATGACCAAAACTTTATAGTTTATACTCACTACTAGTTTCAGTCTATGGTTCCAATTCCGATTCCAGGAACTCCTGAACCAAACATGTCCTAGGAAGGGGAGTTGAGGCACACGAAGTATGAATTCACATACATAATAGAGTAAGAACTAAGAATTGTTCAGGAAATGTAGGCCAGTTGTAGAGCCAGCCGCAGCTGTCCAATCACTTGGCTTGGACCTAAGGCCCAGAGAGCACAGACAGAGGAAGACAGCAGTGAGACAGAATTGAAAGAGAAGAATAAATGAGGTATATGCACTAAGAAAGAAATAAATAGAGGAGGAGGACTTGTCACTAGTGGAGGAGGGGAGTAAATATTGAGGTTCACGTGAGAAGCGAGAAGAGAAGAAGAAGATGAACACAAAATCCAAAACAGCACAATCTTAAACAAGATACTTGGAACAGCTGCAAAATAGCAATAGGCCAATTAGCTGAAAGTGGTCTGATACCTATGTGTATATATACGCCCATGTATTAATGCATGGTTTACACTTTACACTTTTGCTAGTAGTTGGACTTAGGGTTGGGTAGGATGATTTCGGAATAGCTTAGTTAGGTCTCGAATTCGTGTGTTCGAGTCACTTCTATATCACTTGTGTATACGCAGAAAGATTAATTTGAGAAAATTGAAATACTTTCTGTGTTAAAAAAAAAATATATATAATAGTTACTGCTACTACTACTACATATGTCACAAGTATTTGTGATCGTCATCGATCGTTGGCTACTACCTTAACAACTGAGAACGACAACCGCTTCTAAAAGAGTTAAAAGAGACTATGACCTCACCTTAACCCTTCCCCTACCCTTACGTTTTGCATCTTTGAGTTGGAAACCTTTTGTGTATATCTGAATCTGTCTCCATATTTGATTTCCAATGACCTATTTCTTTCATTTTTCTTCTTCTTTTTTTCAATCACCTACTATTTCATTCCTATGCCAATCCATAAAAGGTCATTTTCGAAAGCCTTCTCTCTTTTCTTTTCTTTTTTTTTTTCGTGTGTACTCTGTGTGTGTGTGTGTGTGTGTTTGCCACCTAGAAAGAATTAAGTATTTATTAGTGTAACGAACCTTTGAAAAGAAAAATTAAAAAGAAAGAGATGCCCTTTATTTTATTTGTAATGTTGGCAAACTTTGAGAGGAGTTAAAGAGTGCAATTTACCTTGTGTCCAGAAGGCTCCGAAAGACAACTGTATGGCATGTTTCACAAATTGAGAATGAAAGAAATGGATGAGCGACAAATGGATGGAGTTATGGGAATGAAGGAAAAAGGCAAGTAAAACTACTGTAAAAGGAGACTTCAAAGCAAAGTAAAAGAAAAGCCATAACTCCTGGATACTTTAACTGGTAATAGGGGTTACAACGACTCGATTCTTCATCCCTAAGCCCTCAATTCTCCCCCTTTAACCCCAAAATGATATGTCACAATCTAACGCAAACTGTCTGGTCACAATCACCTTAGATTTTCTCTCTCCATCACAAGCTACTATTTTTAACACCAATAGAGTAATAACCTAAGAAGCAGAAGCCATCTAGAGTTTGGATACCAGATACGAGATACCACTCCTAAATAAGTACAAATAGACAAATCAAAAATACAAACCATACATACAACTAAGACAACCCTAGCTAGGTGCCAAATGCTTTTGGCTATTTTTTTCACTTCTTCTTCTTCGGGATGAACTTAAAAGAGTATTTAAAGAAGATGGGTTGTTCCTTCCAAAAGAAGAAGAAGAAGAAGAAGAAGGGTTGTGGGCCTATTTTCTCTGTTTAGTTTTCAAAGTTCAAACCAACAAGTTAGAAACAAGATATGCCTTTAATGGCTGCTGATGGCAAAGGCCTGAAGATGTTATTAATTTCCTCTCCTTTTGCCCTTTTCCTTTCACCATAAATGGAAAAGGGAATAGTACAAGGCTTGTTTCCCGCTATGACATGGTTGGATCTTCAGAGCAAACATGTTTCAATTTGTCCAGAATGTAATGTGACCAAAACAAATAATAACACCATGCCCCCCACCCCCCACAATTAAAAGCTTCATTCAGTGGTTGGTGCCTGGTGGGCACAACACGTACTGTTTCGTGTATCTTTATTTCTCGTGAGAATTTTCAATTTCAAAAATATTTACACCATGATATGTTTTGGAGTTCTAACGTTTGGACAAAAAAAAAATTCATTTTCAGGATAACAAGCCCAAACGGTTAAAGCGCATTACTGGAGAATCAGCACTTGTCTTTCCAGTTCAGTTCTCCAGTTCTTGCTTAGAGATTCCACGCATGTAAGCAGAATTTGTCCGTGCATAAGTTTTGTCATATCCTCGGGAAAGCCAGAAGAAGTTGCATCGACTATGGACATGGGCTGCCAGGGTCCAGCTTTAATTACATGCAGCAAATTAAGCTGGTTCTGTCGTTCTCAAGTTCGTCGCTTGTATTACTCGAGGAACTGGGTTTTGACGCGTAAATTAACCAATTAAGCAACTTGAAAAGCAACTAAGCAAGCAGGACAAATTCAGCGCAAACACATTTATCAAATTCTACATGAAAAAAAAAAAAGCTACTGTAGAGCATATTCGTACTAGTAAAAGATAAGCCAGTATTCAGGGAAAAAAAAGGTTTTGACTCTGCAACCCATTAGCAGTAGTTCCTAGGCTCGGTGCAAGAAAAATCCGCTCGACAAAAAGATGCAGAAAGTCTAGCTAGATTCCCAGAAGATGTGTTTAAAATGACTTCTTTAATGCAAACGCAAATAGTCAAACTACAGAGTGATGATCAGACTGTTCCCCGTGAAGACAAAATCTAGGGAGAGAGAGAGACAGAGATTGATGGGTGGCATTTCTTGGCAGCCAAGATCCATCGGATGGGACACTATCCGTCTTATCATCTAAGATCCCCAGTATTACAGCTTACAGCTGCTGCGCCTGTATTGCCATCTTTCTCGCCGACCTAACTCTTTGAAACTCATATCCATAGAGGGGCTGTAGATCAACTGGAATGCAGACGATAGGCATCAGGCAGCAATCCTGAAAATCTTTTGGAACATCATACAATTCCCAAATATTCAACTACATGGACAAAACCAGGGGCTCTGCAATCAACAGGTTTACACATTTAGGTTGGTTGATGGTTGAAGTTGTCTTATCTAAAACGTTGAACAACTGAAATTAGTTTCGCAGCAATATTAACAAAAACTATATGGTGAAATCTGCAGTTAAGTAATTTTAACTATAGATATATATATATATATATATATATTGTCCCAACGTTTGCATTACAGATTTACTGTTCCATGAATTTTGGGGCAATGCTTGTTTGTGTGGCCTCCAGGTCGGTAGCCCTTCTCCTGGTTAAAAGAATCAGTTGTAAACAGTACTGACTCTTTGGCAGCTCTAGATGAAAAAATTTAAACCCTTCCCGCAGTGAGGAAGACGGAAATTCCATGTTCAAACTCAAGCCAGTTTAGTTCGTATGTTTTTGTTCTAATACCGTGTAAGTTTTGATGGCTGAGAATTCTATTGCCCTCGGATCATTACCTGCCACTGCTAAAATTTTTTGCCTTTTGTTTTTCTTTGTTTTCACTCTTCTGTCTTTGGAACCAAGAGTCACAACAAGGACCACCGGTCCTTGCAGCCTTGCAGGCACTAAAAACTCCACAAGGCCCAAGACCTCATCTCTACAAAGTGGGCTCCTTGCCTGACTGATATGGTAATACGAACGGAACAAATGATTAAATCAAGAAGAGTTGATAATTTCAGCATCATTGACCTTTGGCACTTTCCGTATTCAAACAATAATAATCAAGAACCCATGATGAGTTGATAATTCTGATCCAATGATACCATTTAATTTAAGCCATGCACCTCACACATCAGGTAATAAGTTCAGATACGAAGAGAATAGCTTTTTCCCGTCATCATTCATTCCTCTGTTCCACGCCCCCTGCTGTCAGTGTATACTCCATCAGCCCAATGGAGAACAATGGGAGAAGTTTACCTACTTTTGCATGAATTAGTCTTCAACAGTTTGTTACCAATCGAGGAAAAACCCAACAATAGCAATTACCAACGTACAGGAACCAAAAAGGAAAAGAAAAAAACACCTGCTGGTTTCAAAAACTTGCCCCGAAATATTTGTCCAATGGAGGTTTAAGAAATGTCACGACTTAACAACCTCAAGCAGCACTGCAACTTCAGTTCTTTCAGAATGTGGAATCAAGTGACGGTACATCAGTTCCCAAAATTTGTGACAATAATACAGCAGAACAAGTGAGTCCTTGGATTGCAGGATATATTTAGAAGATGAGGAGCATGTGGAAAAGCATTACAAGGGCTTCATTCTTCATTAAGGACTTTCTTTGCTACATGTTTAATAATATTATTGAAAACAAGCTCTTCTTCAAGTGGTAGAAATTCTATACATACAGGTAACGAACATCTTAAACAAAACTGTGATTGCTTCTGAAATGTCACTTCTTACATAAAAAGAGGAAATGCATGTACAAACTTGTAGGAAGTCACTACCTGATCTACCACCTTCTCACCAATGACGTGAGCAACTGCAAAATCAAAACATAAAATTGTCTGTATCAGGAATTAAAACCAAACAATGTTTCATCCTGGTTAAGGGTATCAATCAGGAATGTATACTATCTTAATACACTGATTTCCAACTGTTTGTCGTAAAAAACTTCATAGACACAATATCATTTAGGTCAGATACAACGCAATTTCTTCGATCCATGTTTTTAACTTCATCAGATGGTTAAAACCAGATTCACTTTTAAAATATGTAAACAAACACGAAATGGCCTCATTTACCCTTAGTTCACTTTCTTTTGATCTTTATATCAGCTATTGAGTAAAGCCTGAAGCTGATTTGCGCTTAAATTTCCATTCAACATCACAGAGCAAAAGTTCCTTAAAAGGTGTCCATTCTCTTGTTTTAGCTTTTCATTGAATAAGCACAGATTGGTTAAGGAGGAGAATCCTGACCCTGATCTTCTATGCACACTGACACCTCAAAATTTTTGTTCTTCATAGATCTGGTACCATTGTCATGATTATTGAGAAGACTTGCATATAAATCATTGGCAAAGAACAAATTTCAAAATTTTCAGGTCATTTAACGAAATCATATGAACAAAATTCACTTACAAGATGAACACAACTCTAACCTTAAATTTCAACTCTGTGACTTAAGGTGAAAAAAAACAAATCATACCTCAAACAGTTCAAAAGGGCTCCCCCGTCTATAGACATCATTCTTCTTGCTTTTGTCAGGATAGAATATGCTAAACAACAGTGCTCTCCATCCAATTAGTAACACAGCAGTACTTCCCATGGTTACTAAGATAAAGTTGATTGGCGGAATATGCCTGACTGTTGCTGCTCTTATTATCAAGCCCAGCTGCCAAATGAGGGAACCAAAAATTGAAGCAAAGTCCTTTATGAATAAGAAGAAATAAGTTGAAATTGATATCAAAATACAGCCAAAATTCAAAAGAGAGTCCATTAGGCATGATGATGCATGAGACATGCCTGTCACAAGCATTAATGATTCAAAGTTCCATTTGTGCAGGTAACTGAACCCAAAATAGGTTGTTGACCATTCTGATGCAGTGCCAAGGAATGTAGTAGTTCCTTTATAAGGAACCACAAACAGAGCAAGTTTTACAATCTATTTACAGGACAGCTAACAAATGATTGAGATTCATTGTTTCATTGTGAATCTTTCACATCCAATACAAGAAAGGAGGCAAATGCTAGGAACACTAGAATTAGGAAAACTATCCCTACTACGAGGAAACAAAGTTGTTGATCATCACACATAAACTTATGCGGAACAGCCTTCTGCTCATAATTATACCTTCTGAGGTATGATATGAGATACAACAGTATCTGCCGTTGTCCTTCCAGAAGTTAAGTGTGTCAACCCAACTCTCAAATCCTTGTTAAATCAAAGGCCAAAAGAAAATCAACATCCAAGACTATCCAACTTGTCCAAATTCCGCATGTCGTGAAGTCCTTCAGATTCATAGTTCAAACAATACAAGAAAACGATGCTAACCTAATGGTCATTCTGCTCTTGGTTTCATGTCTGGCCTTTGCTGTCCTTGAGGTGCAGCCTAAATTTTGGAAGGACTTATTCAACTTTGTATGCGTCTTCAACTTGAGGAGAGGATTCCCATTCCAAAGAGAACGGGTAGACTAAAAAAGTTATTAAATCACAATGAAATCCAAAATTAGCTTTGAATAGAAAAATTCTTGTATCACAACTACAGATTGATCACTGTCACGTTAACCTACAATTTTGTATCATACTAAGTTTCAAGAGACGATAACATCTTGATAGATTGTAAGTTGCAGCCTAACTGCTGTATGTTTCTCCTTCTCAATAAGCATTAGAATGAAACTTTGGTATTTGCACGTCCAGAAAATCTCTAGAGGTAAACAACCACTATTCTTGTGTTAAAAACTCTAATTTCAAGTGTATTTGGGGTAAATACTGGACGGAAACTATCTTCAACAAGATTCCTATACTTTTTTCAACAAGATTCCTGCTAAAATTTATAAACTGAAAAAAAGAGCTTCGAGCTACTAGAGTCCTGCGATATGATGTTTCCCAAAGTCCATATCCCCAACCTAAATCCTCTCCTGAACCACATATATGCTCACTAGCAACTGGTGGCATTTAACTCAGTCACATTTCAACCACAATCCTTCACCAATCTAAAAAAAATGATATTTTAAAAATATCAACCAGTTCAATAGTAGTCCGACAGAATGCTAAAAGGGACTTACCGGAATGCCCAAAGCCCAAGACTTGGCAGCTACAGTTATAGCTTGAGACCGGCCATTCATGCCTCGACCATCTTCCCCATATCCTCCAAGGAAATAAGCACTCAAGAACCACCCTAATTTTACCAAGGGACCATACACAATAATTATTCTCAGCCCCTAGGTCCAATTTTTATTATCTCCACATATATACAACTAAAATTGAGTCAGAGAAAAGCATACCAGCCATAAACGGGTCCGCAGTCTTCAACGTTTCGAGGTCAAAAACGTCAAAGCCATGACTAAACCTTCCAATTGCTGAGAACAAGAGCAATGCCAACGCATCCCCACCGGCCAACAAAGCCACCCACCTAAAATGAAACCATTTTTTCATCATATCAGAGGGGGAAAAATCCCAGCTGTTTAAAAGAAAAACATTCAAGATAGAAACAAGGAGGAGAGGGAAAGAAATTACCCCCATTTAGAAATGAGGGTAGAAGGGGAAGAAGTGGGCTTTTCGAATTGAATGACACCCTCTAGAGGAACATCCTGTTCGCCCACCAAAGTGATGGGAACATCCTCTTTGGCGGAATTGGGGGGAGTGGAAGGGCCAGTAGGAGTAGCAGAGGGGCGGCTTGTGGTGGATTCAGCATTGGCAACAGTGCGGCGTCTGGGGAAATTATGAGTATTAGTGGGTGGGAATTTGGGTGGTCTGCGATTGGAGAAAAGAGGAGGAACTGGATTTGTAAATTGAAGGGAACAGCGATGGGTACAGGATACTGTCGCCACTGCTGCTCCGCCTGCAGCTTGGCTGCTCAGAACATTCATGTTATCTCTCAGGCAAATTATCAAACGCCTTTGATACGAAGTAAGCACTTGGATAGGAGCCCCTAATTCCACGCAACGTATGGCTCTTGTAGAAATGGGAAAGATATTTACTTGGTATTTTTGTTTGCCAGGTTAAGAAGAATGATTTCTACTACATTTTTGTTTTTTCCCTTTGTATTATGTCAGTTGAGCAGAAGGATTGTAGCGAACTCAATAGGCGAATGGCTATCTACCCGAAACTATTCGAAAATGGCAGTACTATAAATTTGGTTTGGCTAACCGGTCAAGACGAGCCTGTTAACTTTTTTTTAGTAAGAGTGAATTCATTCGGAAAAGTATTCTTATCCCTGTTAATTTTTTAGTAAGAATAAAATTAAATTGAAAAAAAATATCTAAACACACGAAATATATTTAATATGAGTGTATAAATTCACATAATAAATTAGACGTATCATTGAAAAAATTCATATAAATTTTCAGCTGTTGAACCAACATTTGCACTTGAATTATTATAGTATATATCATGAAGTAAATATAATATAAGGAAACTAGGCAAATAATAGAAAAGGTTTCATTTGGTAAAAAAAAAAAAAGGATGGCTACAACCTTTCTTGTCGTGATTTACTATGCTTTGACATTACAGCCAGAAAAAAAAAAAGGTTAAGACTGCCTAGGTGCTTCATTTATTAGTTCATTAAAAGTGGCTAACGGAGTTTCATAGTTGTAATACTACTAACCTTTTCTTAAATTTTTATATGGTAGTATTTGATTGCATGACGAATTGGATTACTTAGCTACTAAGTATTGACTATCATAATTTGCCAAAATGCAGCTTTTTCCTTCTTTGTGTGTTAATATCAATATTTTTACTTGCTGGTCTAGAATATTAATTGCAATCTAAATAGGTGGATCGACTATCAAAAACTAAAATATTGAATTTTCCAGGAAATAGAGAAAATAGGAAAAAGAAAAAGAAAAAAGAAAGAAGAGGTGAGGATGCTGAACTTTGGATCAGAACAAAAGGGGAAAATGAATTTCTTTATCCGATTTGAGAAGCCACGATAATAATGAGGATATTACTAGTAAATAAGGCCAGTTCCTCTACGGTTGTTCCTATTGTATGCTAGTGAAGAAAATCCATAGACGTTGAATTCAGTTGGAAAACAATAATGTGGATACTGGTAGCAAATAAGCCATGCACTTCCGGAATAGGGGCAGGAACAGTTGCAGGTTCTTGGCAGTTCATGGCCAAGATTTGGCCAAAAAAATTTGTAAGGTTCAGATTTTATTTTATATCTCGTTCTTAATAATATGTGTGGGATCCATAAAATTTTATTCTAGAATTACACGTTATTGAAAGTAAGTTACACCATGTGCAAACAGTGTCATGCCGTGTGTAAATGCACATAACCTTCAGAATGCAACCGTTACTGCTCCGGGTCCTACACTTCCTCTTTTTTACTAAAGTTAGTGAAGAAAAATCAATGAGGTTGGATTCAGTGGTAAAAACCTGTTGCTGAATGCTGACTTCAAGTTTTTTTTAATTTGGGTTAAATTGTTTTCAGTATTATAAAAAATAACATTTGCAATAAATACTAAATACTAAGTAATAGATGGTGCTCAAAAATTTCTAATTCATAGACCAACGCTCACAACTTCTAATCACCTTAGAATGTTGCAATGGATATCGTATACAAAAACTTGCCAATTCTAACAAACACTCTCATGCCAAAAACATTAGAAAAAACAATAACTTTATAACTGAACTCTCGTGCCAAAAACATTATAAAAAAATAAACCATTTTATAACTGAACTAGAGATGATGAAAATAAAAAAGAAAACCACCCATTTTAACTCCCAAATGAGTTGAGTAATACAAACAACTGAAGAAAACAGAAATACTAGGACCAAAAGAGATGATTTTCTCATTGACTTCAAAGATGTATTTATATACAAAGATAAGGATCTTACCTATATAATTTCTATATCTATACAAATAAAGATTTCCTATACAATAGTGAACTACCAAAACTGAACTCTCGTGCCAAAAACATTATAAAAAAATAAACCATTTTATAACTGAACTAGAGATGATGAAAATAAAAAAGAAAACCACCCATTTTAACTCCCAAATGAGTTGAGTAATACAAACAACTGAAGAAAACAGAAATACTAGGACCAAAAGAGATGATTTTCTCATTGACTTCAAAGATGTATTTATATACAAAGATAAGGATCTTACCTATATAATTTCTATATCTATACAAATAAAGATTTCCTATACAATAGTGAACTACCAAAATTACATCCACTAATTTATTAGCTAAAGATTCCAAAATATCATTCCGTAAACAACTGCACTAATTTCTGCAATTTCCTAAAGTATCATTTCGTAAATTGCTGCACTAATTTCTGCAATTTCCTCAATACCCCACCTCAAGTTGGAGCATGAAGATTGGAGATGCCCAACTTGCTAAGAAGAAATTGAAACTAATCAGTACCCAAAGCTTTAGTGAAAATATCAGCAAGTTGTAGAGTTGTACATACATGAGCTGTTTTAATGTTCTGTTGACCTTGGTCGATCAATCCTTGGTTTTGATGATTATCAAACCAAAATGTAGATTTGGGCTAATGTTTTTATGTGAGCAATTTGTTAGAAGAAGCAAAAACAGGGCACTCATGTGGGACGTCCGAAAGGAAGCTATCGGACGTCCGAAAGGATGAAGAACATCAAGAAGGAAACTCTGTCGGACGCTCGTGAGGAAGCATCGGACGTCCGGAAGCCTCGGACGCACGCCTCGGACGCACATCGATCGCATCGGACGTCCGAGAAATTTCGCAAAGATTTGATGACTCTCTGTCAACGTTCGGACGCAGGGTTCGGACGTCCGACAGGTGGTTTGGACGCAGGGTTCGGACGTTCGACAGGTGGTTCGGACGTCCGACAGGCCAACGGCTAGTTTTGACAGCATTTAATATTTGACCGTTAGAGAGTCTTTTGAAGCCATTTCTCACCTTCTATAAATACCCCAAAGCACAAGAAGACAAGAGACTTTTGCCAACACAAAATACAAGCTTACAAGTGAGATTTTTGAGTAGAAAGATTCTTTGTTGGTTGTATAAGGGGTTGGGGAAGTTGGGTTGTGAGGTTGCTCAAGTGAAGGTTACTCTCTAGGAGAAGTAAAACCTTGGTGAAGGTGAACCTATCACTTGAAATGGTAAAACCTTGGTGAAGGTTGCCTCATTTGTATAAAATAGTTCTTAATTGGGTGAGTGATCTTTCAAGTGTAGGTTGTTGAGGGTTATCTAGAATAGTTGTAAAACTCCTTGGCTCAACCAAAGTGTGTTTGGGGCGAGGAAGGAGTGAGCCTTCACTTGTACATCTTGGTTAGCATCGCCATCTATTGAAGAGGCTATTGGATTGATATTTGGTTTGCATTTCTTATCTTTTCTCTTTAATTAAGTTTTCTTTATTGTGCTTAAATTTGATATATCTTTGTGCATCATTGTGAAATTGTTTGTACTCATTGGGTTGCACCAAGACTTACAATTGGTATCAGAACTTGGTCTCTTTTGATCAAGCTTAACCGCTTAGAGTAAAGATCATGGCAACCATAAAAGTTTCTTTTTTAGAAGGGCAATCTATTGATAGACCACCTATGTTTAATGGTTCTTATTTTAGCATGTGGAAACAAAGAATGATGATTTTCTTACAATCCGTTTATATTGAATTATGGTATGTGGTAGAAGATGGTCCTTATGAAGCCAGAATAATTGACTCTATCACTAATTTGAGTAGATTAAAGACTAGACAAGAATTGAATGAAAAAGACAAGAGATATCTTTCTTTGAATGCCAAGGCCATGTGTATATTGTACAATGCATTAGATGTAAATGAATCTAGTAGGATTAAAGGTTGTAAATCAGCTAAAGATATTTGGGATAAATTGTGTGTATTTCATGAAGGTAACCAAGATATTAAAGAACAAAAGAAATCTTTGCTTGTTTCTCAATATGAATTTTTCAAAATGCATCCTCTTGAAAATGTTGATAAGATGTGTAGTAGATTTTGTGACATTATTCAAGATGTTAAATTGCTTGGAAAAGAATATTCTTTGAGTGAAAAAAATAGAAAGATTTTGAATGCCTTGCCAAAAGAATGGGAAAACAAAATAAATGCTATAGAAGAGGCAAAGGATTTAAATTCTATGTCCATTAAATCTCTTATGGATACCCTAACCTCTTATGAATTAAAGCTGAAATTCAAAGTGCAAGAGGAAGAAAATGCAAGAATGTATAAGAGAGGCATAGCTTTTAAAGCATCTCAAGTGGGGGATAACCCATCCTTCATGGGTAATGAAATCATGGAAGTGGACAATGATATAACTCCTCACATCAAAAGTTTCAAGAAGATCTTCAACAAGAGATGCTCAAGAGGAGATTGCAAAATTACATGGGATGAATGCAATTCAAAAAGAGAAAAAGAAGAGTTGGCCCAAATGGCACTAATGGCCGTTGGAGAAGATGAGGTAAGTTCTTATCACTCTTCTTGTGATGAAGATAATGAAAATGATGATGTGAAAATTCTTATGATTAAAATGCATAAAAGTTTGAGAAAATCTTATGCTAAAAATAAAGATTTGAAAACAAAAATAAATGATTTGTTGGAAGAAAACTCCAAACTTTTTCAAGAAAACAAATGTTTGAGAATGGAAAATGATGATTTAAAAAATCAAAAAAATGTTTTGAAAAGGAAGTTGGAAGAGAAAACAAAGTTTTATGAAAAAATGTTGGAGGAACAGAATTTGTTAAAGAAAAGAATTAATGACTTGAACGAGTTTCTCCAAAATGAAAAATAAAAGTTTTCTCAAACAAAAGAAAGCAAATCTTTTCAAGGCACAAATAAATTTGCTATGATAAGAAATAAGAAAATTAGTTGCATTAAATCCACCTATGTGCAAAATACTTCTATCATGTGTCACTTTTGTTACAAATTTGGACATATGCAAAATGATTGCTATGTAAAGAAAAATATGAGAAAAGGTATGAAATCCATGTGGATTGCTAAATCATGTTGTATTAACTCCCAAGGACCCTATAAAGAAAGGGTACCAAATGAAATTTCTCATATTTAAGTACATCATGAAGATTTGATCCAAGAAGTGCTATATGGTTGTAAGTACAATTGAAAATTTTGATATTCAATATGGTTTT